TTTAGCAATTTTGTCCAGTTCTATTGTTGATTTTTGTGGAGACTATTTAGCCATTCTCACTGTTCCGTCCCCAGATACTTTATATAATGGAATACTCTTTCTTGGGGCCACAGGCTAACAGCTAGAAAATATGGGTGCATGTAGGACTAAACTTTGTACTACTGATTTAAAGTTTACCAAGCATTTAGAGGTGAGTTTGTGCAAAAACAGTTGAGGCTAATTTTTTGGGAAGATGAGACTTCAGCACAGTGTTTAAAACTTTGAACAAGTGTACAGGGGATCGCATTAGCTGACAAGCCACTCTGTTCAGAATAGTCTTGTCTGAGGTGCCAGTCAGCAACACAAGCTCGCTGTTATGGAAATTCTATTTGGAGTAGAGTGGTGTCAAAAAGTGGTGTTTGTAATACAAAAATTGTATTAATCCTTTATAAATTCTTGAAAACCAGACTCTGTGAAAATTAAAACAGTGCTTTTGTGGATTACAGAGCAGAAAATCATCATGAGAAAAATGAAGTCTTAAGTTGTTCTGGGAATCATTCGCAAGGCAGATTTGAGAGGGGATTGAATGGTGTTCTAAGAGGTACTATTGAGGTGTGTAGACCAGTGAGACAAGATGAGTGGCAGGCGGTTGAACTAAGTACAAATTGTCTTGGACTTTTGTCTTTAAAATATTATGTGATAACCATGGTAATATTTGTGAATTATAGCTTTCTAATCTGTAAAATAGGGTGAAGATTTATTTTCTATTTTACCCAGTGATGAGGATTATGATATTAGAAATAGAGATGAAGAAACAATCTGAACACTATCTAGAAAGAGGTGGCATAAGATGATGCCTATCAATAAGAAATCAAAGTAGAAGATATTTGAAAATCACCCATAGGCTAGTTGGGTGAGACCCGAAGGGGGTAGTTGGAAAAAGAATTTGACCATCATAAGTAAAAAGATAACATTTGAAGACCTAGTTGAAAGTGTGGAGGTGGACTGTCATAAATGTGATAATTATGTCTGTTTTCAGATCCTTGACTCACATTTTCCTATTTATATCCAAAAAAAATTGAAATGATGGATGTGAAAGTGATATACTTCTTTTTACAAATAATAAAATTATATTAGTAATACCTAATATGTAACTGTTGGTCTAGTTTTAAGAATGATTTAAGGATTAACTCTCATAGACAAAAAGATATTTCTTCATAAAAATTTATCTAACTCACTGTATTGTTTTTAAGTCTCAATTATCACTGACCTTTTTAAAAAATATCACTGTCATCTTAGGCTGAAAGCCATCTATTAACTGACAACAGAATAGTCTTTTAAAAACATGTTTGTTCATGTCACTTCTTCATTGACTCATGAACCTTGACTGGATAGTTCAGTAGGTGATGCCACATAATATTGGAATTAATGGCACCTGGCCTGAGAAAATAACATATTTTCCATCTTAATTCCACATTATTTTTAATGGGATTCCTGGAATCTTGTTTTAATACCAAAATGTGAAAGTATCTTCTAACAGTAATCAGTGTCATGAAATTCTGAGATGATCATTTTCTAAAATACAGATTTTAGGAAGTTTATTGTCTTTCATTATAAACATCCCTGTAAGAAACATAGTAACAATAAGTATGTTATTTGAAAGGCTTGAGGATGTAAAGTCTGAATTTGGCTTTTTTGCATTCAAATTCTGGTCTTGTCACTAATACCCGTACTAACCTCAGAGAATTGTTTTAAGGGTTAAATGTGAATTTAACCTGCCAAAAAAGTAAGAATTTTACATGTAAATAGAAAATGTATGTAAATTGTTTACACCTATATCTATTACACATAATAGTATGGTAATATATTTTATAAATATGTAAAAATGTGTGTATGTATATGTATACGTATAGACACAGACTCACATTTTCTGTGTGTGTGTTTGTGTGCGTGTGTGTGTGTGTGTGTATGTGTATGCATGTATCTATCTCTTACTCTCACTTACTGCTCCACAACTGGAATGCAGAGGTAAGCTCTGTGAGTGCAATTTTCATCTGTTCAGTTCACTCCTGAATTCATACCAACTAGAGCAGTGCCTGGCATTGAGTAAATATTTGATGAATCAATGAATTTCTCTACTTTTTAAACTTTCTATTTTGGGATTACGAAATGTACCTTGAACATTCATATTTATCATGTATTCCAGCTTTTTTTTAATTGATGGATTGAATGCCATTTTTATTTTATTTTCCGTTTTGGAGATCTTATATATGTGATTGCTTTACAAAGTTTGATTTAAAGCAGAAATTAATTTAACTTTTAATTTTTAATTAAAACAATCTAGTACTCAAACTCAAAACGTTTCCATTTAATTCTCAAGACCTAGAGTGAATTGCAATAATTTCTGGTGCATTGCTTTTTATGTCTCTTTCGAACCATATGGAACTATAAAGTAATGAAACTATGAACATATATTTGCAGACATTAATTTTTATCTAAAATAAATTACATTTTTTGTCTTCCCTGACAAAAATAATCATATTGCTTAAAACAATATTTCTTATAGCTCTTTTTAAAAGATCCCTTTTAGATCGTTTATTAATTAAAAAACAAATTCAGTCTTATTACCTTTTACTGATAGAATAGTATCATTTGATATAATACATTTTTCTGCCCTTCTTGCAGTTTTTTTTTTTTTTTCTATTTTCTTCACCCTCCTGCTTGCCTTTTTCTTTCTGGTGTTTTCCCTCACACCTGGTTGCCTTCTCATTAGCAGGCTAAGTGGCTCTATGTAAGCTTGTCCTTGGTCGGAGCTGTCTGCTGACTCTCAAGTGCCATAAGTGGCTGTAATTGAGAGAGGCACTGAGATGTTGAATAACCAAACTGTAAATGGAAGATTCTCTGTCCTTACCTATAAAAAGAAAACGAACCTATAAAGGTAGCTATACAAACAAATTCAAAGACACATATAAGAGTGTACTTTTGTTTTTGGTCTTAATTTATGTTCAGCCAATACAGTTTCCAATAAACAAGTTTCTGTGTGTGTGTGTGTGTATGTGTGTGTGCGCGTGTGTGTTCAATTAAGAAATGGAAATGTTTTGTTTACCCAGTCAGCATTTTGTGGCGCTGTTAGGTGTTTAGTTCTTTAGGGAGGAGTAATACAGATTGAAGAAGCCACAGTCTCTGTTCTCTAGCAATTCATACTATAGTGTAGCTTTCAGCAAAATAGAGAAATGTACAAAGAGGTATAGGAGTGTCAGGGAAGATAAGATTAGTTTTGTCTGTGGTGGAGTAGGTTTGGTAGTATTAGGGAGAACTTTGTGAAATTAGTCGTGCTTGGATGTCAGAATGTATTTCCCAGATGGGAAGGAAACAATAAAAGATATTAAAGGTGATAGTATTGTAGGCAAACCTGTAGAGAACAACCCATGATTGTTTAGATATGTAGAACATTTGAAGATGAGATATGCCAGTTCTTCAAAAACCAGGGAAAAAAAGTGACAGCCAGTAATTATTGAGAGAGCATGCTAGAATGATCGTCCAGTGAAATTTAAGCAGTTGATTAAAAATTTGTTTTTCCCGTCCAAGCAGTCAAGTGTGGCATTCAAGTATGATCTTTAATTGTTCTTGTGGTACAAAAACCTCACTGATTGGGCAAATACAAATGGACACTCACTCCAAAAACACAGTGAGTTTCATTGCTTTAATATTTTTTAAGTCCCTGAACAAAATGTAATGCTTTTATCAGTGAATAGCTTTCACTAATTTGTTTTCATTTTATATCATAGCATATCTTATTTTAATCAATAGTGATTTGGTAAAGTAGAGCTCAACTTTAATTTTATGCTATTGACTTTCTGCCCTGTATCTCATTCTTTATCCATTTGGGGACAAAATTTTAGAATAGATAATGGATTTTGTCACTGTTTATCATATATATAGTTACTTAACCTCCTGATTGCATACTACCACTAATAGCATAAATAAATACTAAATATAATAATAACTAACTAATACAAAGAGCTTTGTGTAAAGCTGTGTGTAAAGCTCTTTGTATGGTAAGTAAAACTAGTAACTAAAACTAAAGAGCTTTGTGTAAAGCTCTTTGTAAGGTAACTAAAACTAGTAACTAAAACTAAAGAGCTTTGTGTAAAGCTCTTTGTAAGGTAACTAAAACTAGTAACTAAAACTAAAGAGCTTTGTGTAAAGCTCTTTGTATGGTAACTAAAGCTAGTAACTAAAACAAAAGAGCTTTGTGTAAAGCTCTTTAAATAGACCTATTGGAACATTCAAAAATGGATATGGCCAGTTACAAAACCATTAGAAAATATTAAATATCTAAAGAAAATACTTTGAAGGACAATACTATTTTTTGGGTGTAAAAAGTCTGTCTTACTACTTGTTTACTAAAATAAAAACATACGGTAATTTAAAGAAAATAAAAACTCAAATACCTCTATAAATCTTTGATTATTTGAATATTTCTTTCTATTTTTTAAAATCCAAATTTATTTAGATTACTGCAAATAAATAGATTACAGTATTTGTGTCTGTATACACAAATAAGGGTGTGCGTATGTGTGTGTGTATGATTAGATGTGCTAAGGTGCTTCTCAGTTTGTTTTCTATGCCTGTTATCTAATGGCAAAAGTGATAAGACTCATCCCAGTATCTTAGCTAGAAGAGCCTATGGCAAGAAATAAGGATATTTCTTGGAAATAGCAAAACTTATATTAAAAATGTTATATTCTTTTAATTAGAAAAAAAATCTTGACTATCAAATCCATCAATTTTCCCAGTAAACCTTATAATAAACTAGATAGTATAAGAAGATGTGTCATCTGTGTCCTAAATTTCCTCTACATACCATAGTTCTGCTGTGAGACCTCAGGCATTGTGGGAAATAATAAACTTGGCAACCAACAAGAAATATTCAAATAGTTCTACAACTGTAACCATAACACAGAGTATTTATTTTTTCTCATCATGAAATTAAATATTTTTTTTCTTTTTTTTTTCAGAAATGTTTAATTTGATAAATCGGAGGAAAAAACCATGGATTTTTAGCAATTGAAGAGCAAATTAAGGTAATCAGTAGATTATTATTGCCAACCATATAATTTCAAAATTTATTTTAAAATATTTACATTCAAGTTAGTATATTATTTTATGAGTCTTTACCATATTGAAACGTCAGCATATTTGTAATGTGTTACTAAAATGGAATCTTACATATTTTTGGAAAACAAATTGCCATTTCTTGTTATACATTTTCCAAAAATCATATTTCTTGTGAACAAATTATAAGTGATCTAATTAAAAATATTGCTGTTGTGAGGAAATATACTCCAGCTATATGAAAAATAAATGAGCTAAAAATAATAGTTTTAGTAGGTCTCCACCTTTTCGGAAAGGCACATATGTTTTATTACTTTCTTAACTAATGCAGAATAACCATACTGAGTTTTTTTTCAGTTGCTGCATGTACACTAACACAATGTGATAAAGTCATTTTTGTTTAATTCATTCCGTTTTCAATTACATATTCATAATGTTGAATATAAATATTAGGTAATAAAATATATTCATTTGGTAGCAACCAGATGTTTAATATTAAGCAAATTACTTTCAAAAATTATGTTGTTAATTATCAGAAATATGTTTATGAAGTCCAGTATAAAATATTTCAAACGGTGTAACTTTATGTCAATATCCATATTTACATTTTCCCCAGAAAATCATAGAAGGCAAAACAGGCCCGCATATTAATCAATCAACAGTACAATGAGAATTTCCTCTTTTCTTGAAGTTACTGAAAGTAATTTTTATAAAGTTACTTTGTAAAGTTTAGCATGTACATTATTATAAATACATAGCCTAAAATTTGAAATATCAACTTGCTTATTGTTCTTCATATTAAAATCATTTAAGTTCATTTCATTTTGATATCAACTTTCCTATTGTTCTTCATATTAAAATGATTTAAGTTCATTTTATTTTGAATTATTGACATAATTGATATGTACTTTAATTGCTATCATCTATTTTCAAATATTCCGTACTTTTTTCTGAACTCTAAGAGTAATGCATGACTTTAAATTGTAAAACTATTGCACCTGCCTTTGTATGCACTACATTTTCCATTTGATGTTTTGTCTTTTAAGTATTTTTGCCTTACTTTGTCATTGTTTTCTTCCCCGTATTTATTTCTATATGCAAGCAATGTTGTTCCTCTTTCACAGAAGAGATATGATTGAATTTCTTTCATTTGGAATTTCTTGTCAGTGTTTTCTTCTTCACACTCAATCACATTTGCGAACAATTAATATTATTTCCTTCTTTCAGAATAGATGTGATTGACTGTCTTTCATTCGTATTTATTAGCTTATTTATATATTAACTACTAAATTTGGCAGACATTCTTTTACTATGTTGGATATGTAATAGTTTATTTAGTACTTAACGCTGGTGAAATAAATCAATATATAAAACACACTCAGGCAATCATCCTTTTTAAAAAAAATAATCCAAGCAAACTTAGATATGTTTGCTGTGGACATATTAAAAACTGGTGAAAAAGATGAAGCACTGCAGATACTAGTGTGCACATTTTGAAGGAGTTCCTGACAGACTGCTAAAGAAAGAAAGGTGGGAGCAGTTCACTTCTGCTGGAGGCTCCGAAACTTTCAGAGAAGCTGTGAAATTCACGGAGGAGTTGTTGTGACAGGGAAGGTGAGGTTATACATTCCAGGCCCACACACTAGTTTGTGAAAGAGCAAGGGATGGCCATTGAAAGATTGCTGCTTCCATTGCAGCTGAAAGATTGCATATGTGGTAAGACAGGGTTAGGAGAGGAGTCAGGTGAAGTAGACCTGGAACAGTCCGTGAAGTATCATGTTTGCCTTACAAAAGCTTAATTTTCTATCCTAGATGCCCCCAGAGTGTTCAAAAGGATTCAGGGGGATGTTGGAATAAAATTTCAGAACATCTCCTCATGTTTATTTTCTTTATGAAAAATCAGACAGCATTACGACTTAATAATATTTAATTTAATGACTGTCACAGGTCCCAAATATGAAGTTTCTGGAGAAATCATAGGGATTGTTGCCATGTTAAATGTTTGGCAGGTTTGTTTTCCAGTATTTTAATTGAGATTTAATTCATATACCATAAATTCACCATTTAAAAGTATACAATTCACTGTTTTTTTGTTTTTTTCTTTTACTGTATTCACAGTTGTGCAGCTATCACTGCTCTCTAATTTCAGAATATTTTTATTTCCCCAAAAGGAAACCTTGTATCCATTAGCAGTTACTTTTCATTCCACTCTTGCCCCACCGTCTGACAACCACTAACATACTTTCACTGAGGGTCTACCATATAAAAATGATCATGTTTGGCCTTTCCTGTCTGTCTTTTTCAGTTAGCATAATGTTTGCACGTTTCACCCTTATTGTAACAGGAATCATTACTTCATTTCTTTTATGGCTGAATAATATTCCATTATATGGATATACACCACATTTTGTTTATCAATTTTTTAGTTGATGGAAAGGCCCATGGTCTTAGGTGGAGTGGCCTAGTGTGTTCCACAAACAGCAATGAAGCCAGGGCAGCTGGAGAGCAAAGAAGGTTGAAGATGGATCAGGTCTCCAGTTGCTGTCTGTGACAACAGTGGAGCAAGGAAAGAAAAAAGGAGGGTGATGTAATTATCCACGCAGAAGAGGATTGTGATTTGGATAAAGGTAGTAGCCTAAGAGGTGTTTAGAAGTGGTCAGACAGAATGGATGTGTAATGTGTGAGATAGAGAATTAAAGAATTACTCCAAGGATTTGTGTGTTAAATACATTCAAAGAGGTCATTTCCTGTGCAAAATGGACCTTCTCCGGCATGTCTTTCCTTTGGAAGCTCAAAAAACTGTAGCGTATTTTACAAAAATTTACGTAGTCCTTAAGATATGCATTGTTCTATTCTAAATACTGTGTGGTAGATCATATTGTTAACTCAATTATGCAGGTGAGGAAAGTGAAGCAAAGAAAGGATAAACACTATGCCAAGGTTCTCTATTTGTATACTTTGAAATGGTGAATTTATGGTATATGAATTAGATCTCAATTAATATATTAGAAAACAAACTTGCCAAACATTTAACATGGCAACAATCCCTATGATTTCTCCAGAAACTTCATATTTGGGACCTGTGACAGTCATTAAATTAAATATTATTAAGTCGTAATGCTGTCTGATTTTTCATAAAGAAAATAAACATGAGGAGATGTTCTGAAATTTTATTCCAACATCCCCCTGAATCCTTTTGAACACTCTGGGGGCATCTAGGATAGAAAATTAAGCATCTATCCTAGATGGCCCCAGAGTGTTCAAAAGTATTCAAGTGGCTACTCATTGGGATTTTGATGGTGGTGGTTGTTTGAAAGGGTATTTTACTGTACTCACGTTGCATGAATTTGGTTAAGTGCATCTATGGAATTCTATGATTTTTAACTAAACTAGTCTTCAGATCTAGAAAATTGCTTTTATGTAGCCCTAACGTCAAAATTGGAAAAATGAAGATTATTTTATTAATACATGACCAAGGCAACAATAAGAAAATGGCAGCTGATATTTCCCCTAATATTAGTTGATGGACTTTTTGAAATGTTTAAGCTCATATGAATAACGTTGCTTTGGAGATTTCTGTACAAGTTTTTGTGTAGGTGTATGTATTTATTTCTCTTGGATATATACCTAGGGTTGAATGTCCTGGGCCTTTCTACTGATCAGTCTCCCCAGTTATTCACATGGCTTGTTTCCTAGACTTCAGGTATTCTCTTCTCATGGCAGCCTTCCCTGCACATTCCCATTTAAAATGGAAACTGTTTGGGAGTACCCTCTCCCCATCTCCTGCCTTATTTTTTCTCCAGAGCATATATTACCACATTACACAAAATTTGTTTATTGCCTCCTTCCATTATTTTATGTATTCTAAATATTTCCTCTTTATAGCATCCTTTTAATTTCTGTTTTTGTGTGTCTTTTATATTGCACCATTGGCTTTGCTCATGGATTTGTATATTAGAAAGATAACTCTGGAAGCAGCATGCATGATCATGTGACTGGAGGCAGGTGGATTACCCAGGAAATATTTGTAATAACTCAGGTGAGGTATGAGAAAGATCCAGTTTAACACAACAACAATGGGGATGGACAGGGAGTGACACATTTAAGACTATTTAGAAGGCTCACTGATAGATCTTAGTGACTGATTGCATTTGAGTAGTGAGAGAAAAGTTGAAATCAGGAATCAGTCTCAGGTTTGAAAGTGGCAACATTGTTTGTGATGGGGCCATTTATTGAGCAGTGTAGGGAGCAGAATTCTTTGCTTATTTGCTTTTATACGCTTTTTATACAGTAACGATGTAATGTCTTCACAGAAACAGTAATGTCTGTTTTTTTCCAGAAATAATATCCAGAACTAGATGTTAATTTTCATCTCTGGGTAGGAGTGATTTCTATAAATTTAACACTTTAAACTGAAGGCCTTTAATTGTCTCATTTTTTTACCCCTTTTTTTGTAGAAATTTAAAAAGGAAGTTTTAGTTTGCTATGAGATTATGTTTTCTAATTAATTTCAAAACCACAGTCAGAATGTGCGGGATGTAAAAACTGGCTATGGGCGGGGTAAAAGCACATTAATTATTCAGACAGGCATTCCTGCTTATTCCACTCTTGGAGATATCGTGGCTGTCAGAATCTGTCAGCTGTACATAGTTAGTGCCCTTCAGAATTTACATGCATAAATGGTGACCTTTAGAAATCTGCATAAAGATAAGTCTGGTATTCGAATGATAGCTGCCAGTCAGTTGAGCAAAGCAAAAGTTGTCAGCTACTACTTAATCCACAGAGCGGGCTGTGAAGCCATGAACGGCAAATGGAGTGTATACAAAACAACAATAATACTTTTTTTTTTCCCCACCAAAGCAAAAATAAAATTCATTTTTAACAGAATTTTACAAAAGATTATAACCAATTTCTTGGATCAGTATTTTTGGTGTGTATAGCTTTTCTCACTAAATCTGTTAAAACTTAC